TTGAAGACATAAGAGCACAGTCATCAAGCAAAAGCAGGAGAAATAATTACTTCTATTTGTACAACATGCATATAATTATAAGTGTATCTGTGAGGAGGCAGATTTAAAATAATCTCAATTCTAACAAATATTGAGAATATCTTCTACAAGAAAATTAATCTGTTTGGACTTTTAATCAGCTGTAAAAACTGGTATTATTAATTTTTTTTTCTTCGCAGTATTGAGTTAATTAAATGTAGAGTTAATTAAATTTAGAGATTGACAAGTGAAAGGCAGTGCAATTAGGAAAGTAGTTCAACCCTTCCCTAACTGAACGGGCCTCTCTAAATCTGTATTTTTACTCTCTGCTCTTTTTTGTTTCCTAGGCTGTAGAAAGGCTTTAGGTCCACAGTTAACCCAGAGGATGTTTCTATCTCTCCATCAGCTCTCCAGTGAATTCTTAGTACTTGTAGTTTTGATAGGACTGTGATCAGATACTTCTACCTCACACTCATTTCCAAGTTATTTTAGATTATAAAGGCCTGGCATACTCTCAAGCACAAATCTTACTTTTGGCAACACTGCTCCTACAGACACACGCATACAGAAAGCAGAAGGCTAGACAAAACAGGATAACGTGAAGACTGTATTTAATAACACAGGAAAGAAACAGAATCAAATCCCTCCAATTTGATAAGACTGCTGCAAAGAAATGAATCTGTAGCTTAGGAAAACATCCTAAGTTTTGCCTCTCTGCAGGCTATAAAAATTAATGCTTTCTACTTACGGTTCCAATGCATCTAAATAATTTGGTGCATAATTAATTGCATTTCTAGAGGACTGAGAATAAATACAAAAATATCCAAAGTTTATTTGGAGTTTACTGATTAAAACCTTTCCCAGACCTTAAAATACTAGGGGGAATTTTCTTCCCAGAGAAAGGTTAGATTGATTCCCGATTTAATCAGTTGCTAAACATCATTAAAAGCAGGGGTTTATACAGTGTCTTAGACCCAGAATAACCCTCCTGTTATTAACTCTGTACCATAGGAGAGTACTCTCTATATGAAACAGACCAAGAATGTAGTGAATAGGCGACAAAAGACACCACAGAAACAGGTGATAACATATTCCTATGTCTTTAATGGAAACATTTTGTTACAATTTAGGTTATGTGATAATCTTGTATCTTTAAAAGGTGTGAAAGAAAATGCACAGAACAAAAAGTCAAAGGACACCAATGAATGTAGATATTTTAAAAGACCAAGTCATAAAAGAAATAAAATACATTACACACATAAAAAAAGGTTATATCCACAGACATGAATACGCACTCTCCTCTACACAAAACCAACAATAAATAAAATCACATTATATGCAGATAGTTCTACTTACATCAGTACAATATACTGTGCAGCTTTCCATTTGTTTTCTACTAGACTGGTACTAGGTTTCTCTGTTGTCCAGTATTTTTACATTAATAACAGTATCACTGAAAAAAAGGGGGACAAAGTTAATGTCCACAGTGTCTATCCTGAGTCCTCTTAGTTTTTGATAGTTATGCACAAGAAACACTGCTAATTCTACCCACTGCCTTCATCCTGCCACTTCACTCAAGTTTTCTCAGCACTTTGAGACCTGTGCAGTAAAGACGACATTGTTACTGGGTAAATTCCCGACCTAAGGACACAGTACACCCTGAGCAGGCCCCATGCACCACTTAAATCCTGTCTGCATTTAAGGCAGGGGGCTGTGTGAGATTTAAAAACTTTCTGCTGCGTCTCTAAGAGAGATGGTACTGTGCAGAAGGAACTCAATCCCATCCTCCATACAGTCAATAGCATCATCGCGGGAGTACAGTCAGTCCCTGAGCATTTTCCCTCTTCTCTCAGCTGCAGATGCTTCGGCAGAGGGGTTGGAACTATGATATTTAAGGTCCCCTCTAACCCTAACCCAAAGATCTGTATTTTCAACAGATCTTTTAGTCCCATGGATCACATACGGCAGAAGTGATCTCAATGTTCCATCAGGGCACTACTAAATATGCGAGGAAACATTTACCTCTCACACAAAACCCAGAAAAATGACCACTGATGGTTCGTTCCTCTATCACACTTCATACACTGTTCTCAGAGAAAGAGAAGTCCAGATCATCCTCAACTATGAACCAAGACACCTGTGCTCATTATGTCTGCTGTCAGTAAACAACTAATTAGCAAAACCTCTGTCCATAGCTGGGGGGCTGGGGAAGAATTGTGTGTTCTCTGTGCATACCATTTGAGATTACAAAAGAAACAACTAAATGAGATAATTTTCTTAAATACTCCTTTTGGTACATTTTCTTTGCTTGCTCAAGTGTCCTCTAGAAACATTCACATGACAGAAACACCAAGCAACAGTTCACACAGAGTGGATTTTAACCTTTCAAAGATTCAGCATCTAATGAATCCACCTAAGATTTCTTAAGTTATATAGCTTAACATACAAACTTTAACAGTGTCAGGTTATTTAGAATATTTTGCCTTTGATGCTGAATATTAACTTAGTGGTTAGTGAAAGATTTTGAAGGAACTCTTAAGCCTCTCTTTTTGAAAGCTAGGTTGGTATTCTGTAAATCTGGTGCATGTCAGTTAGAACCTCCTAGAAGGTAAATTCTGGAAGAAGTAATAGTGTAATAAAACAGTCTATGTAATGATACACTGGACACAATTAAACACTAGCCCAAGAAAGCCTCAAAACCATGGCAGCATTATCTTCTCAATCGAAACCAGCAGTAACACCATAAAAATACCAACATTAACCTTTATCCTTTCTTCCTCTGTGGGTGAGATAAAGGGAGAGCTGCATTTAAGACAGACTTAAGACTTCACTGGGACAAACCCCAGTGCTTAGGCTTTCTTTTATTCTCTAGAAGAGAACAGACACTACCAATGTCTGCCACGCAGCTTGCTGACCCCTGTAGACAGCCAAGTCCGAGGTCTCGCACAAACAGCTATTTGTTTTAATTTCAACAATCATTTTTCATCAGTTTCAGACCTCAGATGTTAGAAGGTATCTAAGAAGGGAAAAAAATTCAGGCCTCAAGCCATCTGAATTAATTTCCATCTCTAAGCAGGGATACACACAGTGCAAACTCTTCCATTCTCCCACTTGAAAGGTTTCACACACACACAAATCTTTTTGTGCTTTCAACAGCAAGAAGGGGGGAGGAGAAGTGACACATACAACATATCTGAAGGCAAAACTTTTTCCAGCATGTCCTTAAAAATATTTTCCAAAAAGTAACTCCTGTATTCCTTTGTTTCTAAAAAGGACTAAAACTGACTCCTCCAAAACATGCACTTTGCTGAAATTTGTCTCTTTATTGCTTACTGTTGTGAGGTGAGTTACTAGGTCACAATGCTAACCAAGAGAAAAGGTAATGTACCATTAGAAACTTGTATTTCTCTTCCCATATGCCCTGCTTTGGGGAAGGTGGTGGCTAGATCTGACATCATTTTATAGCAGTAACAATTAGGATAAAAAAACCCAATAGACAATTCTGGGTCTAGATCTCCCACAGTGGTTGGTGTGGCCACGGGCCAACACGAGGTGGGCTGGCAGCTGAGCAGCATAGAGACAATGAACCATGTCTGAAATTACACGAAAGCCAACACTTGCAGTGAAGGAACATTTCTGATTAGGTTATGGAAAATGGCTGTCTCTTGTCAAAGTACTTCTAAATCTACACAAAAGACCATGAAAAAAAGGGGGATTAAAGACTGCTTACTCTACCCTGGGCAAAAATGAGGAAAAATAATCTCAACTGCTTTACTGAAAGAACTAGAACTGCTACATGGCCACACTCTGAAGCACAGAGGAGGGCAGTGAAGGATGTGGAAATGTCTTGAGCTCCGGGAAAGGTGGACTGAATTGCCAGAGAAATTTATGACCAGGACTATTAGTTTCCTGTCTTTGATGTCTATTCTTGGCTTTCCAGGAGCATTATGGCATTCATGAGGTGAAAATAGCACTGGAGCCAAGGTCAGCTAAGGCTGATGCAGCCTGTTCTACTGCAAAGCTGAGAAACTCACCCTGAACTGCTTCAAGCCTAAAGACACTGCACTGAGGGCCTGAGTTTACTTCCACTGAATCAATGAGAGTTTTTTTGTCAGCTTCATGACAGTATGATTGCACTTCCAAGCCAAAACATGACTCAGAGATCAACCTCCCAGTAAAACATTCTGTAAGGGAGAAGACTCTTAATTTCTCCAGCACTAATGTTTTCAAAGCATTAGCTACAGTTTATTAATACATTAAAAAACCTCAAAAAAAAAAGCTTTCAATAATGCAATAACGCATTTCTTAAAACCAAACTGAAAATAGATCAATTCAATTTATTTTCATACATGAATTAACCTAACTCTTTAATAGTGAATTCTGGCCACAATCTTGCAAGGTGCAGACCACTCACAACCATCAGTTTTACCAATGACTGAATGTTTTCAGAGCTTAGCTGGGTGTAGCCTTCAATGAAGCACATCACAGCAGGAGCTGGTAATTAACTGGTCATGATGGTAGTCCTGATGGTAGCCTTGTCCTGATGGACAATTCAGGAGACACAAACTGTCCACAAAAAAACTTCCAGAACTACCAGTGGCTCAGGACAAAACATCTAGGCATCTGACTCTGAAGTTGTGGGTTTCAGGATAATAAATTACAGATACTTTTCAAAGTGTTGCTTCATCTTTGTCACTTGCAGTGGAAGCCTGTGTGTTGAAGTTAAGAAGGTGACAGGTAAACTGTCAGAATCCTTGGGAAGAAGATTCTGAGGTGAATCAGCCATTAAGCTGATCACTATTTGGTGATTAAAAAAAACAAAAACAAAAACAAAAACAAAATTAGCAGAATTTGTTAAACCCTGACAAACAAAAGTATGAAGCTGCTACTTCAATTTAACAGGCACAACTGTTAGATTTAGCAAGAAACATATGGCCTACAGGGTCAACCTTTCTCCAATTCAAGCACATGGCAAATTGGTTCAGCCATGGCCAGGACCATATCCTTTGGTCCCAAGTGAGCAAAGCACTTAGAAGCTGAACATATTTTAAGTATGTTCTGAAGTGCTGAGCTGGGTGAAGGGTCTCCTTGTGCTGCTCTGTAATACAGATGTGTGTTTGTAATACGGGCAATTTGCTGAAGCCAAAAATGTAGGTCTTGAAACCTCTTTTGAGAATCAATTATTATTATTTTGATTAGACATTCCCTTGCAGAGTTTGAAGCTTAAACATTGTGGCATTGAGCTAACGCAGATGAACCAGAAAGGCACAGTGCATTAGCCGGTAAAGAATCTCTCCGCTGAATAATCTAAACCCAAGGCAGTTTTTGATCTATGGTCCAGAGAAGACCTGGGAACTATTTGCAAGAGGCCTATGAAAGGCAGCTAAGATGAGCAAGTCTGTTTATGCTATACAGGAATCTACTTACCTGAAATGTCTTAAACAATCTCCACACTTCCATGGGAAAAACGCACACATTTGTGTGCATCAACATAGAAAGATTAAACCCCATTGATCTAAAACACTCTAATGTGCAAGAAAGATTCACCTTTCTTGGGAAGTGCTGAGATGTATAGTTTTGGCTAAGCCTCTGTCAGCATCCTACCAACAGACATCTCATAGAAACACTCACAGAAAACACTTCTTGAGATCATGATTTAAAACCCTACATAAAACCAAGGATCAGAATCATTATTTTTTTAATAAAAAGCAATATTTCACTATACCTTTTTATAGTTATCATAAAATGACACAATAAATAAACAAACTCTCTTAACAATTTCTTGTACCAGCTGGATCGCCTGTCTCAGATATTCTGGTCTGACCCAACTCTGCATGGTACAGGAAAAATAAAATCTACACAACTGTCTTAAGTGACTGTTTGAGTACTAGTTTACACTGCAAAGTCACAACAAAAATAATTTCAAAAAAAGTTTATGGTTCAAATCACACCCTCTTATTTTTACACATGTAAGAATTTTCCTTCTCTTTTTTTCCTGTGGTAAAGTAGTCAAATGGGCAAAAGATACTGAAATGCAACTTTGCAAAACAAGAAGTAGATCAAAACTGCCTTGGAAACTATTAAAAAAACCCCAAACTTTAAGCATGCCCAGGGACTAGGCAAACTCAACCGCTTGAAAAAAATAAACTAATCACAAAGTCTTTTTTTCTCCCCAACTCCATAGTGGTATGAATGCTGCTCTAGCCTACATTCTTCTCTGGTACCCATGAGATAAGAGGGCTACTTCAGAAACCTGCCCAAGGCACCGTTGCAGAAGTCACACAGGCCCAGAGGTGGCAATGGGATGATGCAAATCTACTCCCTGTACTGGAGCTGCTCTGACAGTCAGGAAGACCTACCCTCTGTCTGTCTGGAAAATTGGACAGTATTTAACAAGGGCAGGTGATGAACCTCTCCATATGCTAAGAAAGGAGTGAAATATAATGGGAAAAAAAGTCCATCAACAAATAAAAGGCATCAGAAAGGAGGCATAGCTGGTTTTAACTCTTCATTCACTTACAGCAACCCCAAAGTGGTTTCTCAGAGTTGGTACCATAGCTTCTCAGGGATAAGAAGTTTTGTAGAAGTCAGGCTTCAGAGCCATTTTTGAGATTAATTTTCAAATCTGATTATGACATCTGAGACCAGCAATTTTTTCTTACAAAATCAGAACAGGATAAACCAAAATATTTCATGCACTAGAACCATAGTCATAGCTCAATTTTCCCACAGACAATATTTTATGGGTCTTCTTCACCACATTTACAGTAAGTGTACGGTTCATTTCCATTTGTTGACTAGAAAGTGCAAAACTTTCCTTTGTCTAGTATAAAATAACCTGTCAGTAGCTAATTCATCACAGATTCAGTTTTGCTCCTGGTAGAATCAATGGCAAAAGTCCCAGGGATACTGATGGTAGCAGGATTAAAGTCACCACTAGAAGAGTGTTTTACCACCCAATTCCTGAAGGTAGTTCCTTGGTTGTTCAATTGTACACACATGGACAGCTAAATCTCACCAACTTCTGTAGGACTCTTTAACATGAAAAATTCGTAATTTTCACCATCAGCGCCATCATCCCATTGACAACTCAATAACTGCATTTATATTGTTTAAGTAACTACTTGAATGTTGCACATGCCTGGAGAAGAAAGTCTGTTACTATCAACAAAGTCACTTCTCCTCCCCTAAATGCTAGTTCTAAAATGTATTTACAGCTGTTGACTTTCCCTGCATACTACTCCTATCATAAAAAATATGTCTTCAAAACATCCTCTTCCTTTATTTTTAATCCTACCAAAGCAAAAATAGATACTTTAATAGAAAAATACAAGATAAAAAATATCCCAAAAATAAAATGGAAGGATGGAATGTCATTTTTACACAAAAAAAAATCCCCTTTTTAATTGCGTCAACTATACAAACACTTTCATATTTACAGTTTTGGATGCAGTCCTGTGCTCATTGAAGTTAATGGGATTTTGCCACTGACTTCACTGAGAACAGGAGCAGGCTCGACACGGCCTATATTTGCCACTCTGAAAAGTCATGGCAGTGGAGAGAAAAGAGTGTGATAAAACACATGTAAGACTGAGGAATTAAACAGTCCTCTCCAAGGCCTGATTGTCTTCTCTCCCTATTTCACACCACCGAAACTCCCCATTCTTCACTGAAGACTTTCGTAACTCCCAGCATTTAAGAAGGAGAAACAGTGCTTTTGATTGTGATACCACATAAACAAGGAAAGAATTGTGTGTGTTTCCACCTGCCTTTTTCAGTGGAGTTAATTAGACCCAAGTGCCAGTTCTCTCCCAGAACTAAACTCCGTACACCAAATCTTATATCCCCTAGAACCAATGGCAGTGATTCAGTGATGCAGGATCATACCCCAAATAAATCTCTTTTTTTCCTTTTGACAGCAACCAGCACCTGTGCCTGTGAAACCATATCTGACACCCATGGATGAGATGCAATTATGGAAGGAGGTGGTAGAAGCTAAAAAAAAAAAAAAAGAAACACAATGAGGCATTCCCCATCAACTAAACCCAGATCGGCTGCCCTCAATACATGCTTTAAGAAATACTGTCTTTACATATTAAGTACACCCTATAACATCAAACCGCATAATTTTCCTTTTTTTTCATGAGATGAAAGGCCATGCGGCATAATGTGATTAGTAAATCATTCCTGAGCTTCTGAAAGAAATTAAGACAAAATTACTGCTTAAAAGAGTATGTTCTTCAAGAGCCTCTTTTTACACTGATGTCTTTGGTTGTGTCCTTTTCCCTAATTATTTTTTTTCCCTAGGAAGAATGGGATTCTTTTTCCTCTTCTTTACGCAGCAGAAAAATGAGATCTAATGGAGTCTTCACGTAACTGCCGATGTTTCCCCATGTTACAGTCCTCCTGTCGAGTTCGTCTCTCAATAGTTATTCTGTATTTCTTTCTGCATGAAAAGAAAAAACCAGAGTGAGAAATCCTTCTCCAGCTATAGGCTAACAGACTTCCCTTATAAAGAATGCCTGTAGGGGACAGCTGGGTGCCAGTTGAAAAATGAAATGTGGCAGAATGTGAAACCCTGGTCAAAGATTAAAGTCGTTTTCCTCAAAACATTTTACCCAGGCTCAAGAATGCCTGTTAATTTCTACATGGCGGTCTCAAAGCACCAAGACACAGACATTTGCTTCTTTGAAAATTTCTGATCTAAGTGATTAGGAGTTTTTGTGAAGTGTCATGTGAACTGTGTCACATCACTGCTTTATATTGATCAAAGACAAATTTCTTTTCACTATGCGGGGGGGGGGCACTTTCTGGAGAGTTCAAACAACAGAACTGACTATTCAGTTGCACTTCTCATCAAAACTATGTATTAACTAACTGATTTTCCCATTTCCCTCTGAGAAGGCTACTATGTTTGTAATGTCAGATGAGGTAGTATGATGAATTAAGGAGAGGGATGCAGAGGACAGATAAGAAATAAACACAAATGCTCATGCATCAGACACAGCTCTTCCTGTGTGTCTTCCTCTAGGGCCTTTAAAAGAATTCTGCTATGTTACTTTATACATCAAACAAGCCCTCTGACTACTTTTCAGCTTCTCATTTAGTACCCAAACCTGCTCCAAAAATCATAAGATGATTTGCATTTATGCTTCTCCTCAGCTTCAGGACAAGTTTTTCCAAAAGATGTTAGTCCAGTCCCATGAGCTTGTACTGCCTGTGGAGATGCATGGCAAAAAGCTTGTATGCCAAGGAAAGCTTTGTTCCACTTGCATGTGTAGCCAGAGTCAGAGCATATGTAGCAGTGGAAGAATGATTTTCAAAACACCAAGGTTTTAATCTGGGTAGCATGTCTGAATAGAAAGTGGCAACCTAAAAGTTCTGAAAATATTCCCTAGATATTTGTGTCTGTATCAGAGGCTCCAAAATAACTTGATAAAACTGTGTTGCTTACTTCCTTTATGTATTTTTATGTCAGATTCTTCCATGGCTCAGAGCATGCATAGCAGTAGCTCTTGCAAAAGGATAGGTCCACATTTTGGATGTACAAGTGCTTAAGTCCTGTCAAAGTTACATATCAAAACTCCTACCCAGATATTTTAACAGTTTGCATGCACACTTAAAACTGTGTTTGCATACTCATTTGTGACAATGACAGATTCAAATGAGACACAGTCATAAAGTACATATACAGTTTAAAAGGTACAAATTACTTTCAGACACACAACTGCTAAACCTGTATTTTCTGAAAATCCAACCCCTGCATCCTGATACATTATGTTTCAGATATTTACTCTACAGGTGGAATAAGAAGGTTGTCCCTACTCCTGCTTTGAGCAATTGCAATCAGATCTCCAGGATGAAATTCACGCATATGTCTTTAGACATCTCCAATGTGCAGATCCATCTGACAGTACCCGCAGCTTCCTTCAGTTAACAGAGAGAAACAGGCTCTTCTAAGAGACATTATTCTGACCTGGTTTAGCTTTTACATGAGAATGACATGAATTGCAGAGAAAAGAGTGTTCATTTCCCCCCTCTGACCATACATAAAAAGACTGGGTGTTGAACTCAGGTGTGTACATCTACTTTTATAGACACCCTCCTTTGCTCACATGGATTTCCAATCCAAATCTTTGTGTCAGATGACTATGAGTTTAAGTCCTGTTCTTACAATGATACTTCCCATAGCTTTATACCAGCTCAGGATATCTACCGCCTCATTTCTTGTCCTTACATACCAATTCTCTCCCACTATCAGCAATGCTAAAAACACCTAACAACTGTAATCTGATTGAGAATCTATATAAGACGCAAGAATCTCTGATTACATAAAATATAAAGACAGACTCGTATTTTCTTTTTCTTTTAAAGATAGTCTTTAATCAGTCCAAGCTAACTTAATGTTGTCTCAAACCCAAACAACATATTATATAAGCACTGAACACATGCAAGATTAAAATCACCCTGCAGAATTTTCAGTTGCAAGCACCTGATGAACAACCCCGGTTCTGGGACCTTTGAAGTGTCCCACTGAATTGAAGCAGCTTTTGCTTGTTTTATTTTGTTAACTTTCTTTATAACACATATTTTTATTGGATAGAATTATTTCATTCTTATATGCAGAGGTTAATTCTCTTCTCCTATATGTTTTTACTCTTCCATATCATGAGGATAAATTACTGTATATATAAGGTGCTGAATGTGTATAACTAATTTATTCTGTCACTACAGGATCAGCTATCAAGACTTCACATTTGCTGACTAGCAGTGTAAGAATTATTTTACTTAAACAAGAATAAAACACTGATTCCCCTGCACTGACCTCAGCTTATTAAATTAAATGCACAGCTTTGCTACCCAAATAATCTCTCAGACCAAAACAGAAATTTCTTTCTTTATGCAGCAGAAAAATGAGATCTAATGGAGTCTTCACGTAACTGCCGATGTTTCCCCAAATTTCTTTCTGTTTTCCAGTACAATTCCACTCAACATGCAAAAAAATAAGCTCAGTACCAGGCAAACGATGCAAACCTCTCATACAATCACATCCTGCACAACTGTGCTAGAAACGAGTACCAAACAAAGAAGGCTTTCAAGGCCAGGGCATTTTACTAAAGCAACTGTGAATGTCTGGAACCCACTGCAATTACTTCCATGAGTCACATTACTTAGAGATGTAAGTAGCTACAGGATGAAGACCCAAATCAATAAAATTATTTGGATAAACACAAAGGGACAATCAAAATGTGCTCACTGTCTTTGGTGAAAACGTTACCACAGATTATTATGGTGCTTCTCTGTCTCCCATCAAGGATGTTGTGCCAGGAGCTGAGACATTTAGATGACAAATAAAAAGTTTACAAAATTTCAATTGGACTAACCTGAAAAAGTAAAAAGCCATTAGCAATCCTGCTCCAAGCAAGGCACCCACAACTATTCCTGTAACTGCTGATTCTCCTAGACCACCTGCTTGAGAAGGGGAAAAATAAACAATCAGGGTTCATATTGAGAACTGTTTGCATTCATGTACTGGAAAATACACACAACTAGGAAATTAGTGACCAACATCAGAAAATAACTAAAGCCTTTCAGAGCTCAGGACTCCATGGGAACCTGTTTCAGTGTCTACACGTTTGTTTTTTGTACATGCTTTCCTTAGGATTAAACAAGCCTCCAAAACCAGTGGCAGATGGCAACACAATTCTGGAGATACGATACAAGGGAACGTTGTTAGGAAACTTCTCTGGAAAGCTTGGTCTGAATCATAACACAGACTGGGATTACAGTCACGCACATAATGGTAATCAGCACTGAGTATGCCCTGAGTCATTGTAACAGAAACAAACTCATTTCACCTGGTTTAGCATCACAGACCTCTATCACCTGGGTTTATTAAAATGACTATGATTATCCAACAGTTCCTCAATTTTGGGGTGGTTTTTTTTGGTTTTGGGTTTTTTTCCCGAAGATATGTGGTTTCAAGTTAAAGCCACATGAGCTTCGCCTTGCTCCAAATCTCAACAGAGGCAGAGCAGGGACACAGTGGCTGAAGGGGAGCCCAAGGAGAAACTGTCACTGGGAAGTACAGGCAGCTGAAGAACAATAGCATTTTCATATGCAGGTAGTCTGCTCCCATTTCCTCGTCCACCTGGGTTTGTGGAAAGGAACAGAGAAATATTAAGGAAATTAAACTGTTCCCTTCTCTTCATTTGCCCTCGTCCCTTTGAAGGGATTTTGTCTGTACGTCAGCAGGAACAAGGTGCATAGCTACACCACACTGACCATAGAGGGAAACAGTCTCTACATCACGTGTGTACACACAGGTTTTTCAAGGATTGAAGAATTATCAGGCTGGAGTTACCTTTTCACTTCAGGACTAGCAATTTGTTTTCTGTGAAAAGCTAAGACCACCCTTTTCCACTGAGGCACTGGTATCTTCCTATGCTGATCTCCTTTGCAACGGAGAGCAATCCTACAACATGGTCTGGAAAGTCAATTTGCTGGAAAATATGGACACCTGCTCTGTGGAGGACAGTCTGAGCTTTCAGAATTCACAGATGTTACCCCACTCAAACAACTTCACTTCTCAGCCTACTGGACCTCTCACAATCCCTTCTCATAGCACTGAAAATCATTCTGCATTGGGAGAATGCTGCTCCCATCAGCACTGGCAGCACAGCTGCTAATTATCAGTGTGATTCTTCTCTGTTTCAGGTTTCAGTTATATCCTTCTTTCTGGTGAAAAGGCCCCTGGAAACTCCTAAAGCCTCCAGGGCTCCATGCTGTGAATCATGATTGCTGTCAAGCTTAAGTTCAGGGAAGAGATTCAGGCCATGTACTACCCATGGCTGCCAGACCTTTACTTCCCAAGCAGTTAGCAGAGAGAAACAGTCACTATGTCTTAGATGGACAACTGTGTTAAAGCAATTTATTATGGTCTGTTACGTTGCATCAACACGTGGATTCCTCTCTCTTGAGCTGGGGTAGAAGCATTAAGTCACTAAACTTACATGATTTACACGGTGCATTGTTTGTGTGCTCTGAAACTCGGCTTTCATCTAGCCGCAGCCTGCCATGATTCCAAGGGTATTTCACATTTGATCGAATCTCAAAACGCCCCTGCTTTCCATAGTAGTCCCCGATCACCTGTGCAAAACATAAAAGGAACGAAAAGATTTTCCTATTAACTTGGAGAAGTAAAACAAACAGGAGAGCAGCATCACTCAGTTGGACTCCTGTGGCACAATGCTGAACCCTGGAAGAAGAGGGCTGAAGAGGTCTGTGGGAAGTTATGTAGTGTATGCACTGCCCCAGGGCAGAATCAGCTGAGCAAAAGCATTCCTGACAGATGTTTATCTAATCTGTTCTTAAAAGCCTTCAAAGACAAAGACTTGACAATTTCTTCAGGGAATTATTCCGGAATTTAGCTGGCCTTACTGTCAGTTGTTTTCCCTAGCATGTAACCTAAAATTCCTTTGTTGTAATTGTCCAGTCACTACTTACCCAATTGCCAGTGGACACAGAGACTCTTCCTTTCTGAAACATTGCTTTACATATTCACAGGCCCTTATCTGGTCTGCCCTCAGGCTTCTCTTCTATATAAATCCTGTTTATTTAAGATTTTTAACCTTCTGAATATTCCTCCTTTGTCCTGGGCTTTCTTCACTTGCTGCACAGTGGGTTGAGTGCCCAGGACTCTCATCCAAGTTAAAGTATCAGTAACTAGACATGAGTCCAGACTGAGGGAAGAACTCATTGAGAGCAGCCCTGCTAAGAAGGACTTCTGGGTTCTCGTGGATGAAAAGCTGAACATGACCCAGCCATGAGCACTTGCAGCCCAGAAGGCCCAACCTGTCCTGGGCTGCATCCAGAGCAGGGTGGCCATCAGGCCAAGGGAGGTGATTCTGCCCCTCTGCTCTGCTCTAGTAAGACCCCACCTGGAGCAAAGAACCCAGCTCTGGGGTCCCCAACACAAGAAGGACGTGGCCCTGTTGGAATAAGTCCAGAGGAGGCCACAAAGTTGATAAGAGAGCTGGAACACCTCTCCTATGAGGAAAGGCTGAGAGAATGGGGGTTGCTCAGCATGGAAAAGAGAAGGCTCCAGGAAAACCTCATTACAGCCTTCCAGTACTTATAGAGGGTTATGAAATAGAGAGAGGTTGACTTTATCACAGCAGGTAGTGACAGGACAAGGGGGAACAGATTTAAACTAAAAGAGATTTATACTAGATGTTAAGAAGAAATTCTTTGCTGTGAGGGTGGCGAGACACTGGCAGAGAAGCTGTGGATACCCTATCCCTTGAAGTGTTCAAGGCCAGGCTGGATGGGGCTCTCAGCAACCTGGTCTAGTGGAAAGTGCCCCTGCTCAGGGCAGGAGGGTTGGAACTGGACGATCTTTAAGGTCCCTTCCAACCCAAGCCATTCTGTGGTCCTATGGTTTTATGATTTCAAGTAGATTCAGTGCTGAGATTTCCAACTACACAGTCTAGGGTGGAGTCTTCTATTTTGTCAGAATTTGGAGGTACTTGACTAAGGTCAGTTAAAGTCTTCAAATCTTCTGAAGAACTATGACAGTCACTTCAGGATTTCAGTCCTGCCTTTAACAGTTAAGTCCAGGCTTTTTTCAAGGTAAACTGTTGAATCTACGGCAAAGTTGTGGGACTAAATTGTGCTAACAGCAGTAGTTCACTAATCTGAAAATAGTCTAAAAACATCTATGTACAGTAAGCAAGGCCAAATATCATGACACTGAAGTAGTCAGAAGCGGTGGCAGAAACACATCAAAAGATTGTCCCACCATGGATAAAACCCACGTATTAATACACTGGGTTTAGAACTCAAGGCCTGTTCAAATTTTTCACCTAACTTTCATTTTTAAGCTAAAAAGTTTAGAGAACATTTGCTCTGGTTAGACATACAAAGGTAGATTTTACACTAGATGAAGGAGCTAATTTCTCTCCCTGTTGCCACTGAAATAGAAGTTCTTTGCAGAAAGAGGTTTTTTTAATGTTTGTTCAAAAATAAAGGCAAATTCAGTAAACTGGAAAAAGCAGAGGAAAAAAACCTCTGAGACAATTTGCAGGCAGCAAATTATTCATTAAATGATGGTTTAATTTATCAAACAGTAGTGAGAGAGTCCTCTACCTGCAGGATGAACTAAATATGAAAGTATGCAGAACGGCTTAAGAACAAAAAGCTATAAGCAGCAACCAAGCAGATTCAGATCAGAAGGACGATACAGATTTTTGAAGAGCAGGAGTGGTTAAACAGTGGAACAAACGTTGACGGAACGTGCGAGGCAGTCCCCGTTCTCTCAGTGTCTCCAAAGGAAAAATAAATGCCTGTTACAGCCTGAGCTTTAGTCACGTGTAAACTACAGGGCTCCATACAAGGGTAAGAAACCTGACTGTCTGTAAAATGGCAGAGGTCAAACTAGGTAATCTGAAGTTTTCTTCTAGCTTTAAACTGTGTGAACAGAATTGGGAAAACAGCTCTGCCCAAACACCCATTCATCTGGCACAGTTCAGCTGAGAAACGTTCTTGTACAGACACAGAAAAAAACTTCAAACTAATAAAATAAGTTATTGAAGAAACAATGTTTTTAGAGTAAGAGTAGAAATGATGTAGCAGATAAGTGGAAGTAATCACATGTAAAATGTTAATTGTATGTATATTTTATACACAGTAAAGCACAGGGAAATTGAACAGTAAGTTAAAGGAAGAAATGTAGCACTAAAAAAGTAAAAGATAGTTTAAATTGCAAGTAAAAGAGCAATGGAAGGGAGGGTAGGAGAGGGAGACTAAATTGATAAATGAGATAAAAAGCTAACGGACTGAATAAACAGAAGAAATACAGGTTGTTCAAACCAAAGTTATCACAAACAACTTGTACTCCTACTACCCTTGTGAGTGTCTGCAGTTTACTGCTGTAGTTTTTATCCACTTTTATCCACTAACGCACAAAAGACATCCTCACACTTTTAAAAAGGCTCCTTGAGTTGTCTCTGCTGCAGCAGTGACAGGAACAATATAACTTCACTGGATTCAAGTCCACACATGGAAATGTCCAGCTCAGATGCACTGCTGCTTTACAGCTGACCTTGATGAAATAGGGCAGACCAGCAAAGCTTCGGCAGAAACTGACTTTGTAACTAACAAAAGGTGCAACTGGAGTTAGGCAATGCATGTATTAATAAATTCAGCCCAGACGTGCTATTTTTCATCTCTTCCACTCCTTCTGCATCCAGTGGAATAACCTATGTGGTGTATATGGAGCCATCTAACTAAAATGTCTCTTAAACACTGAAAACAAGGCACTTAGGCCTGATAAACAAGGCCAAGCAAGGTCTGCACTCCTGCTTGTGGTTGACCTCAGTGTAAGACTGAAATACATGTACTTGCTGTGTTAATACATCAGGATAACTTGTGCATCGCTGCTGCTTTAAGATCAATCCTTTTTCCTACCAGTGAATAAAAAGCCTCGCTCACTTTGAACAATAATTTCTCATATTCAGAATTATAATTGCTTAGCTGGCTTGTGAGAATTCACACTTTAGTTAAAGGCTAACACCATGTGAAGAAAGATGTATTGTGAAAGAAAAGAAGTTTAAAAAACTTTCGGATAACCACTTCAAGATAGTTATTTTACAGAAAGGATTTGGTCTTTAAGTTGATAAGGTTAAACCACCAAGTAAAGAGATGACGTCATGTTACATTACACTGGCTAATTCATCAGTGGCCAAGTGCAATGGTGTTTGTTTCCTTACCTCCTGTGTGCCTGCCTCTGGGTCTGTCATTCCAATCACAGAGAAATCCCCGTATCTGTCTCCATTTGCATCAATGGACACCTGCCCTGCAATGCCTAAAGAATGGCATGTGAGGAATCAGAAGATTAATTAGTTAAAATACTGAGCCTTTTCAAGGAACACAAGAAAACAGTGGACAGGTTTTTACAGACCGATATGACAGGAAATCTCATCAGTCTCCCAGCATTTTTGTTGGCATTCCAAAAGAAATTGTAATTTCATCTTGGTGCCTGCATTCCTGAATTCTTAACATTTCTCCTTTTTAAATATCAAATGTGTGAGACTTTTTGGAGACTACGTGAGAAAAATCTAATCCAAAAGCCAGCATGTAAGAATAAAACACAAATATATTTAATGTGAATTATTTACAGAGTGCCTAACCCTGAAATATCTAATCGTGCCTCAATAAAAAGAGCCCAGCTCATGCTGCAGAGGACATAGACCTACATCTCACAGACTGCATCCACACAGCCAGTCCAGTGTTGTTTCCATCTAATGGGATACTGGAGAGGGTATGAACAAGAGGCACCATGTGCACTACATATGCATGTAGTTCATTTACATAAGATTAACTACATAATACGATGCTGTTTGTAATATATTTCTTAGACCCCCAGTTCACTTCCTTCCTTTACAACTTCTGGGAAACTTTAGGGAAACTGGGAATCATAGACTCATAGGATATCTCAAGTTTGAAGCGGCTTCAGGAGACATCGAGCCTGTGGTAGTTTGGTCTAGGCCTTCCTTGGTGACCAGTTTGTAACCAAGGAAAAGCCCAGATTTACCCAGTACTCCCTACGATTTTTACGTAAGCCAGACTATAAGAAGAAAGGAGGGAAGGCCTTTGCTCTCTTTCCTTTCGGCGGCTTGGAGGTGCAGGTTCCCTGCTGTTGAGTCTGCCGTGTTGGGGAGCGAGGCCTGGTTAGGCCTTGTCGACCTTGGGAGACGGAGGTTGTCGGCGATCATTCCAGAGTGACTTTCGGTTGTCCCAAGGAGAGTAGTGAGATATTTCTTTGCTAACTTTTTTTAGTTGCTAGATATTGGGCTACTAATCAAGATATATATATATATTTGATTTTGGTTTTGTTCGTTCTCCCTTCCCCCTTTCCTTTCCCTCGTGAAATTGTATATATACATCAATTGTATATAACTGTAACATAAGTGTAAATATATTTATATATATTGCTTTAGCTATCTCTCTCTTGTTTCGGTTTTCTTGGGTTTTTTTCTCCCTCTTCTCCCTGAGGTTTGGGGGGGGGGAGGGGACTTCTTGTGGTAAGGTTTGGAGACTTGGCAGGGAGCCAGCTTCAAACCATATCAGAGCCGAACACCCTGCTCAGAGCAGGGTCAGAAGAGAGAGGTGCGCAGGATTTTATCTAGTCTCTAAAACCTCCAATGATGGTAACTGCACAACCTCACTAGGGCAACTGGTTCCAGATGTCACAAGGAATAAACACATCCTTGGATTCAGTCTGAATCTCTTCTTACAATCTCTGTCCTTGTGTAAAAAGAGCATGGCTCCAAATTCTTGGTGTGTAAGTCAAACTGGTTCTTAAACACCATCAAACACCAATTAACTATGATGAAGACATTATGAAGTTGTTGATATGCTTTATCACCTCAGATACTCTCAGATGTGATCCTCCACTGCCTGACACCAAACACAGCTATTTACACATGTGCAAGGCAAATAGGCACCACTGTATATCCATGTTACACCACCTACATGACCAGAGAAGACACAAAGCTGTGGAGACTCAGGCTCTCAGCGATGGTAAATCAGAAGAGAGAGGTCAGATATTCAGTCAGAGTATAAATTCCCCTCAACGTGCCTAATGACAGTGAACATGCAACAGACTAACACATCTTCATTCATCCTGTCTCTGTTCTGATTTAGAGATGATGTCAGGAATGTTTTGACTTGCTGCAATTTTCAAAATATGCAGTGGTTGAGCATCTGTTTCGTTATAACAAGATAGTAATCAAACAACTGTCAATTCGATTACTGCAGGAAAACAGAATGGGTGTAACAACCACTTTGCTGTGAGAGCACTGGCCTACACAGCAATTTCGATTCTGAATCTGACAGGAGCTGTTAACCTGGCCTAAGAAAACCAAAAATTTTTGGAAGTGGGTACTAAAATTACTGAAACTCAGAATTCCTATGGGATTTTTTTTTTTTAGCAGGAAAGACTAATTTTTAATTTTTCCATCTGAATCAAAACAGGTAGTTTGAAATGCTGACATTTCCTGCAATGTTCTTCCTTAGAAAACATAGGTAGGAAATTCTGAAACAACCTTGATTGCGAACTGGATTTGGATGAAGGCGGAAGGATTTTATCTAGACTTTCTTTTTGTTCTGTTATGTGAGATACATACAGATACATACAGAACATTTTGCTACTTTTCAGAGGAAATTCCAATTAATAGAAAATAGTCTCCACAAAATGTGCCCTGCAGTCACACCAAGGTGTCTTTAACAACGCAAGCAGTAAGAGACCCTTTGATCACCTCAGACTGAACCCTTCCTAAGCACATGGTATCTGTGCAGTTGTGGTTGGCAGACGGAATGCTGCAGGAAGCAGCATCCAGATCCTCTTGGGAGTCCTGATGGGTCAGACCAAGCTGTAACATGAGGTGCCAAGGAACTTAGATATCTAAATGTCAGCAGTTGAATTAACGTAATCAATGAAACTGAAGTTCTCATCACTGAGGCCTGCAAAAGTTGAAGGGAATTATAAAGCCTCAGTCCTGCAGCAGAGCCTGATGGGTGTGTGCAGGGACTGCACTCTGCAATGCTGCAGCCACTGCAGAGAAGGGTCTACTGGAAGAACAAAGGGACATGACCTTCCTAAAAGGACTGGATTGCAAGATATCAAATTAAAGGCCTCTTCCAAAATCAGTTTTATGTCCAGCAAAATACTGCCATGGGGAGGAAATGGGATATGACTTAGGTGGTGTTTTGACCTTTTCATCTGCACCCTCACAGCCCAACCTTACAGCTACATTTTTAGAATAAGTGTACACATCAGCAATCAAAAACAACCTAGTTTTCACAATGAGGAGAGAGAACATTTCTTCCTCCTGGCTGGTTCTACACGCAAGGTGTGAGAATCAACCACGTAAAACCCCCATGGAGTACATGGTACTACAAAAGACTCACATGGGCACGCCCAGTGGGTGGCTTCCTGGAGCACAGAAACAGGAGTAGAGAAAACACAGGCTGTACTGGGGCATTTGTTCATACACAGGACAAGCAAAGACTGAGGTAAATCCCTAAACATTAAATTCCCTCTGTTAAAACAGACTGTTTTGGGAAGCCATGGATATGAAGAGAGGTAGTGGGACATCACAGCACAATCTCCAGCTGGTGGAGGGCTTCTTTGGGATGACTGCAACCAGCATAATTTAAAGCAATCCCTGAGTTCCCTTAAGCTGCCCTCGGTATCCTTTTGCCTTCTGTTCAGGCCACAGTTTGAGAATAAAAACTTGGTTTGGAGCTGCTGCCCTTCTTGCCTTCCTACACAACATCCAGTGTGTTATTAGAGCTGAGAACCTGGTCACCAGGGTTTTTCTTACACATTCAAATGAATCATTCATTTCTTATCTAGGGGAAATGTTTACTTCTCTTAGGCATTTCCATAGGAAATCTTGCCAATCCTACACCAAATGACTGAAGTATTACATGAGATGGATGGGAACATCATAAAGAGACGGATGGAAATATTTTAAGAGATGACAAATGAAACCAATAATCCTCAGTTTCTTTACTACAATTCTTACCTGGAAAAAGCATTTGCATTGCTTTGCATTAGCAAGGTGATACACAAGTGCCATTTGCACTGTGGAATTGTAATGTCCAGGATTAGGCACAGAAAGGCACAGTGGTGTTCAGCTGCTGCCTCTGAGATAACATGCACAGCTCCTGAAAGGAGGCTGGGGGAAATCCTTCTAGGGCCCAACGGAGTCCCATCAAGAAACACAAAATAACCTTAATTCTGGCACCTGCTTGCTTCTATCCATTCCCAGGCTTTTAAGATAAAAAAGTGACATGGAAAAAATGAGGCAATCTCAGAGCTAATAGATGAACATGAGTAAAGCGAGCAGATGTAATCTTTTCAAAAACAAAGAAGGAGCCTGAGAAAATTATTGGTATTTCTTTACCACATCAGTGAGGGTCATTAAATTATTAGAGTACTTTGAACTAAGTAAGACCTCGACAGGTGGTGCAAAAAAAAGTCAGACAAATGAGGTATGTGAGCCAGCCTTAAAGATGTACTTGGTTTCGTATGTTACTTCCCTCTCATTGAAGAGTGGAATAGGCACGGGTCCTTACTCTGCACATAACAAAGACCTGAATCCTTTTGACTCCAAAATCTGGAATGCCACAGTAACTCTTACCTTCATATGTTCTGTTCCGTGTTTGCTGAACAATTTTTTCCCCATCTTTCTTAGTGAAACCAAACTTCAGGACTTCCTGTAAAGCTAGAGCATAAAGAAGAATAGCATCATGGAATCCTTCCACAAACATGTTCACCTAGAAAAGAAAGAAAAAAGAAAAAAAAAGCAATGGCAATTGACACATTACAAATTTTTTTTCCCTATGGAATTGATTCACCAGAGGGAATCTACAAATTAACCACAATGACTAATTTGGAGAGTTATTTTCTCAACTGTTGGAATCCAAAGGAATGTGTCTCAAAAAAACCTCAGGGGGAAAATGGCAACTTTCGACCCATTTTTAAAAACAGTTAACCCCTATCTGCTATTCTGAACACTCAAATCACACTTTAATGTTGTGTCTGAACAGCTCTGCAGATAGGGAAGAAATTCACAGATCACACAGTTCCCATGCCCAGATGCACAAATTCTGCACTTAACCACGTGAGATTCTGTAAGGGGCTGAGCACCCTCATCCCGCAGCAGTCCCACTCCCCTTGTGCAGGGGACTTAGCACGTCTCAGGACTGGGAAGTATGTTCTGTCATGATTTTTTCTGGAGAGCACAACTGGTGTCTTTGCTTGTTTAATGATTACCGCTTCCATTACTGGCCCTTGTTCAGCCAAGCATCTCTCCACTAGCAAATGAGCAATGGAGAAAACTACTTAACCTCTCCAGCAATGCATTCTCTGGAACTGCCAGAACTTTTCCCGCCTGTCCTTTCTAGTTTTTTCAGTAAGTGACATGAAATTAATAAAATGTTGTCTTATAACCCTAATACAAAAGAAAACTGCTACCTACCAGCTCCGCCTCACATGAGTCTCCATAGGCAAACTACAGCTTTTGGTCTGTATCACTGAGTAAACAACACTTAAAAGCTGAGTGCTGCAGAAACATTACAGGTTTGCTCACAGGGAGCCTGATGTGCTTCAGTAGTGAAGCAATAATTATTGCAGGAGCTGAGTTCAGATGGAAGCCCATCAGAAGAAGGAGACACACACAACTTGAGCAGCACAGGTATTCCTCTTTTGTAGGCAGCAACTTACACATCAGCAATGCAATGCACTCACTTTATGACAGTAATTCAGAATAAATTATCTTTTCAGCTGCGAGAAGGATGTTCCCATTCACTCAGAGTTTCACTACAATAAAAAACCTCCTGACATCCCAGCAGAGGTGTTAGCAAGGATTGTACCACATTATGAGGTCTCTTATTGCCATTTCCAGTGAACAACTCACCTCTACAAATATTGCCCTGGATAGAAAAAAGATAGATTTAGGATATCTTCCACTTCAGTGTATCTAAACAATTTAAAATGCTAATACATAAAGCGTCAGTCTAACTCTCACAGTTTTACCTGGACATCAGAAACGTTCAAAGACAAAAACATGCAGCCAGTTAAGTAAATAACTGCTCCATAGATAAAAAGTATTACAGAGTTGATTGGTTAAGCCAAACTAATCAAACCCTGATAATGTAATTACATCCAAGACATTCCTTCACTCTTAAAGCACTTGCCAACAGTAAGAAGAATTTTGGAATTCTTTACTGAATATTACAAAAGTTTACACTGCTCTTACATTTAAAACTAGACTTTTAGTAACTCCAAACTATATTGCATTAAGAAAATGCATTACAGTTCAGGGGAAGAGCCCACAGCGCTACAGGAGGCACAGACAGCTCAGCTCACTCTGACAGACTAAAGGGCAGCTGCAGTTATTTCGAGCTAAGGAGAGAAAGCATGAAAGAAGAGGTGAAAGTCAGGCTTTTAGTGGAATAACAAGAGCTGATGGACAGAGTGCACACTAGGACAGGCTTTGCCAGCAGGGGGTTTAACTTTTCAGAGCTGAAATAAACCCAACCAAACCAAGAAACCACAAAGCTCGACAACTGCTTCATGCGCCAGTATTACAGTCCAAGTGGCCTGTGGATGATCAAACATGGGCTTTCTTTATGTGACATTCTTTCTCTAGTCTCTCTAGTAGCTCTACCTCCCTGCTGGCTGATTTACAGCTTGTGGCTGGCACTTGTTTCAAAGAAAGCTATTTGTCACTTCCTTTGTCCATGGCAAAGACCTCTCAGCGTAACACAGCAACCTTCAAAATCCTTTTTGTCAGCTAATTTGCTCAACCTAAAATCTACTCATGTCACAGGCCTGGAAACACTTCTGTAGACACTGCAGATCTGCCAGATAAGCCCTGTCAAAACTCAGTTGGCAGTTTGGGAGATTACTGCCACAGCCTCTTGCCAAAGCCCCTCTTGGCCAAACCCCCTGACATCACATATGAAAAATCACATTAGAAAATTGTCAGAGGGTCATCTATGCCACTGCTCAGTTGCTGAAACACAAACCCCAGCACTTTATCTTATGTTGCCAAGGAAGGTGAAACTGTGGGTAATTTATGCCATTTAAAATCTTCTTCTAAAAGAGTAATAGTTACTATTTAGAGGTGAGATTGCACCTACACTCCCCAGCCAAATCATCTGCTGGGCACACCTGCAACTTCTCACATTATTCCAGAAACATGTTCAAGCACCAGTTCTTGAAAGGGGATACCAGATACCATGAGGGGCATAAAGTTTTTATGCATATCATCTTGCTCAATCATTTAGAAGTTTCCATAATTCCACACAGAACATGGGTTGCATGATGCGAAGGACAGAGGAACATGTGAAATGACAGCTGCAGAAAATTTTGAAGGGATTGCTCCTTGCTGGTGAAAAGGGTTAAAAAGGGAAAAAAGAAGTATATATATTCCATGAATATTTCAAATAGAAATCGGAGTAAATATGAAGATGTCTTCACAGGCTGCTTGAAGGTGTCCATGGTAAGTAATTATGTGCATGGTTCAACCTTCGACACTCTTGGGATAAAATCTACAGAGGGTACAAAATCTATTAGAGGTCAACTACTCTTGTAAGTAAGTAAAAGTCTTTTAGTTGAGCTCTAATAAAAAGCAGAAAATTTTGATTATAGTATTTTCAATTTTCATTTATGCTGCTTTTTAATCACAGGTGCAAGCTGAGCTTCACAACTTGCATGTCAACTAAAAAATTATTGTCCCTGGCTCCTTCTGCACAGCAGAGCCACCCTTCAAAGTGGCAGCAATGCCACTGGCAGCACAGAAGCTACCAGGTTTGCTGAACAGCTTTGGAGGCTGCAGTATAAATATATGGAAATGTCTTCATGAGATCTTCCATATTACTTTCAAATCCTATTCAAATACCTAAAAAGCAGGTAAGCTAACTCCATAGCTAAATAAGATAAGCACACATACACCCCTTTTATTTTCCTGCCTTTCTACTCTAAATAATTCTCTTCCATCGGGGGTTAAAAAAAAAAAAAGAAACAACCTCTCTCAATGGAAATCACATGAATAAATTTTACACAGTTCAAAGTTATAGTTCCCCAAGCAGCTATAGTGTGACCACACTATTCATATATACCAAGGTGTTAACAGCATACACAGCAATGCAAAATACTACTGACATGGAAGAGAGCCAAGCTACAGCTATGCAGGACCCATAATTTTCCATATCCTGCCTACTAGCTGTTAAGCAAGCTTACTCTCTCCCATCTGGAACTGCCCAGCTCTGAATCACAGCAATTACAGCAATTAATATACCACTTCAGTGCCAGGTGGGGAGCATCATCAGCACTTTTTCTCTATTGCAAAGGCAAACAACTAACATTTCCCAAACCTGGTCTCTGCATCTACTTTCCAGTATATCCACAGTGATTTTCAAGTTGTCAAATTATAGTTCCAGCCAAAATCAGTGAAGACCTTGCAGAACTGCAGAGGGTTGTACCTAGACTTTTTGCAAAAATCTTATCAATTTACATACTTGACATGATGCTCAGGTGAGATAATGCCCACTGAAGTCCACCTTCACCCTGGTTTAGATTATTCCACACAGATGAAACTAAGCAATCAAGCATGGAAGTTTGATCCTATAAACATATGGCACTCATCTAACATCAGGATTATGAATACTGTAAGTGAACCTCATGAAGTTCAGCAGTATTGTGTTATACTGTAAAACTATAGCACAGTAAAAATACGGCAACAAAGTTCAAATACAGCAGCTATATTAAAAAAAAATGCTATGATGTATTTTAAACCAATCTCATGACAATCTCTCAGGGAGGTGGTGCAGTCACTATCCCTGAAGGTGTTCAAGGAAAGAGTGGCACTTGGTGCCGTGCTCTAGTTGACATGGTGCTGATCAGTCAAAGGTTAGACTTGATGATCTCAGAGGTCTTTTCCAAACTAACTGATTCTGTGATTCTGTAACAAGCTTGTTCACAGACTTCATGACTATGGATTTCTCCATAACACATCTTACTATTTAGGTAGATGTCTTCCTGCTATCTCATGCTGCTTCAATAAAAGTATTTTTTAATATCTCAATAAAAGTATTTTTTTAAGCAGTTGCAATTAAACTGTCAGTGCTCTCTTTTTAATCCTTCTTCAGCAAGCCAATTATAATTATGATCCTTTATTTACGAGCTTTTCTAAGAAACCCCGACGTAGCTAACTTTTCTTACATGCATTCTTGTTGAATATCTTCAGCTGTGTTCTGCTGACTCACTATCCAGCAATACACTCTTCACTTAACTCTGGAGCAGGGACTTTTCTCTTTGATATCATTTGTTGATGTTGCACATTCCCATGTAGGACATTGCCACTGCTGCTGATGTTGTTCTAAGCACTGGGATGCCCAGAGGGGCCCTCAGCAGTTCCTCGATGAGTTTCTATGCCCTTGTTCTGAGCTGCACAAATCCAGAATAAGGTGCTCATGATTCTTATACAATAGATGATCGACAAATAGAAACTATTCAGGTTTTTTTAATCATCCTTTTTTAAAGATAAAACATCGTTGTTACAAACTGACTTTCTGTTAAACTTTTAGTTTATAAAAACTCAAGTCAAACTCTAGGTGGAACTGAGATGTAGATTGAGAATGTGAAGGTGAGGGAAGAATATCCTTACACTTGAGCATTACTTGAGAATAGGGGAAGTGCATTTCAAACCAGGAATATCATGTCCAGTTTCAGCTTTGCAGTAATTTATTAGTCCTACAGGCATAACACT